ACTTATTTTGCACAACATTATCTCTCCACACTACATTCACACTGAGCATTTCGCTTACAGGCCGAGCAGTATTTCATTGTGTGTATGTACCACTTTTTGCTTATCCCTTTATCTAAGTCGTTTCCAGTTAAGTTATTTCCACCTTTGGCTATTGTGAATGTACACGTTTGAGTACAAATTTCTATTTGAGTCTTTTGGGGGTATGCTAAGGAATGGAATTTCTGGGTCATAGGGTACTTCTACTTTTAATTTTTCCAATGACAGTTTATTATGCAAACCCATCAACAATTGATAAGGATTCTAATTTCCCCACATTATTGCCAACATTTGTTATTTTATTATCTTTTTCTAGCCTTAGTCATCCTGGAAGTAGGATTGAAATCATAGAAAGTAGGATTGAAATCATATGCCTTTGTGATTTTGATTTATATCTCTCTGATGACTAATGACATTGAGACTCTTTTCATGTGTTTGTTGTTTGAATATTCTCTTTGATGAAATGTTTATTCAGGTCCTTTATCCATTTTGTGATTGAGTTATTTATCTTTTTGTTGTTAAGTTGTCAAAGTTTTACATATATTATGTTTATTAGATTCAGGTTGGGCATATGCTTTTCAAAGATAGTCTCCCAGTTGGTAGCTTGCCTTTTCAAAATTTTTTGTGAAATATTTTGGATTTTTATTTTTTTAAGGTCTCATCTATTTATTTTGCCTTTTGCTAATTGTGCTTTTGTTATTAGACAATCCACTACTGAAAGTTAGATCTGCCAGTGTTACCCCTGCTTGTTCTTCTACTTCTATGGCTCTACTTGTGTGTTTAGATCTTTTATCCATTTAAATTTGTTTTTGTATATGGTATTAGGCATAAATCCTGCTTCATTTTTCTGCAACTGGAAATCCAGTTTTCCTAGCATGTTTTTTGAAGAGACTCTTCTTTTTAACAATCATTTTTTTAAAAGTGCTGCTTGATGGAAGGAATAGTGACATTTTCTTGCATTCCTTGTCTATTTTTACAGTATATGCATATCATTCTGTGGAGCAAAAATAGTAGATGATACCCTCCCCATTCCATCGTAGGATCCAAAGAGTATTCATGCCTTTTCCCGAAAGTCTGTATATTAGCTTCTCATAGAACTTGAGGAACTAACAGTAAATAGTAAAAAAAAAAAAGTTTTACAAATTCCACCTGATCATCCCTAACTTTTCTTAATGTTTGGTGATATTTGTAAATATGTTTGCTTTTACTTTCTTTTTCATGGTTATATAGTCACAATTTTAGGTAAAAGTTTATTCCATTTACCTTGTCAAGGAAGAATGTCATGCATTTCAAAATCAAGGATTGTAGATTACTAGATGGAAATGGTAGCTATATAGGTTTGGCAACAAATTTTGGAAGACTTTATTTAAAATATATTAACATAGGAAATATGCTACTATTTACTTAATGCAATTAATATGAATCAAGCTTATAGTTTAATATATTTTGATTCAGAAGCATAGCCTCAATAGAATTGAGTATTTATATTCACTGGTAAAGATTAGCTGAATAAATAAAATATTTTGAAATGCCATCATTAGAAGTAAAGCATCCATTAATTGATATTAAGTATATTGATTACTTTTACTGGAAAATAGCATGTGGTAAACATTTATGAGTATGTTATAGTAATAACTTTTTTTCTTCTTTTAGCCTCCTTTGGCAAACAGATTTCCAGTACCAACTTATGCAGCCAAGCAACCTCAGCAGTTTCCATCAAGGTCTGAATTGAATTTGTTTAGTTTAACTCACTGCCATACCTAATCTAAATAGAAATAAGAGTTAATATTTAATACTTTGTTTTTTAATATTTATCATCTAATATTTAATTTCTAATTATCTAATTAATATCCAATACTTTCTTTTGTATTTAATTTAATTTAGAGCAAGGTATTTATTGCCAGCTATTTAGAGATCACATTCTGCAGAAAAGATTTTGTGAAACTTTTATGTAAGTTTGGTCATATTACTAAGA